GATTTACATTTCCTGGATGAATAGCGATGTTGAGCACTTTCTCAAGTGCCTCTCAACTATTTTAGACTCCTCTATTGAGAATTTTCTATTTAGTTCTGTACCCCACTTTATAATTAGATCCTTTGGTGTTTTGGAGACTTGCTTCTTAAGTTCAGTATTAATCCCTGGCATACAAATGGACTTTGTGTGCCCATCCAACAATGAGATATGCACTCTCAGCCTGGACTCTAGGGAGAGGCTCCAGGCCCTGTCCTGGATGAAATGACAGACTATGGACATCCCCATGGTGGGCCTCACCATCACTGGGGAAATGAGAGGGTATTGGGGGGGTTGGTGGGAGGGCATGGGAGGAGGAGAGGAAAAGAGAGAGGGACTGGGAATTGACATGTGAAGTAAACTTGTTTCTAATTTAAATTTAAATTTAAAAATAAAAAATATTGGTTCTACATAGTCAAAACTAAATGCTAAATCGTAGTCATATGCTAAATCCTTTAGTATTAGTAATTTAATTTTTTAAAATTTATTCATTAATGTTATCAGTTGTTTGTATGTAAGATTAGGAAAGTGATGCCCAAAATTAAACTTGTCTTCATTATATGCCAAAATATATTTTAATCTAAAATATGTTCTTTAAATGCTATAAATATCATATCAATTAAAATTAGTAGTTTTATATACCAAAATAAAATGAAATGGATTAGAGCTAAGTAAGGCATAAAACCACTATATTTTATTTTCTTTAGGATTGGTCTTGGTAATGTGTTCTAACTATACTTATGACTTCATATCATTTAATTTTTAATTACATTTCCATTATAAGCATTTCAAAATATTCATATGTCAGATAAGAACTTAGTATGTTACTACTTTGACTCAATGCTATTTTAAAAGATTCTATAGTGGTTTTTGTTTTGTTTTGTAGTGCCATACATTGTACTCAATTCTAAGTTTCACTAGCCTGATGACTCTTAATCTCCCAGTTCCCTTATACCCTCTTCCTCTTCTTGTCCACCCCCCATCTTTTCCCAAACCTTCCATCTTCTGCTTTCATGTCTCTTTGAAAATACAGTCTCCACATTTAGAAGACAAACTTAGTGTTCTGCTTAACTGGGCACCATTATTGATTGCCCATTCCACCCACAACCCTTCAGTTGCCATAATTGCTTTCTTCTTTACAGCTAAATGCTTGATTTCCTTATGTACTCCTCTTTTGATGAGTTTCTCAGTTAGCTCTGTGTCTTCCCTATGCTGAGTCTCACTACAGTGCTACCTTAGCTTCCTTCATGTATATATGCAGGGGGTATATAATTTCACATAAATACACATTACAAAATGGGAGGCAGATGCTTAGTGCTAATTAAGAAACTATTGTAAATTTTCTCCCAATCCCAAACCAAATTTCATGTGATATTTTTTTTAAATTCAAGTCAACAACTCAATAGGTTTTTATTATTTTTATATCTGTTTGTTTAGTGTGTTTTGGCATCGAAGTAAAGGTTAATAGACAGCTTGCAGGAATTGCTTCTCTCCTATCCTGAGAATGCAGGTCAGCAGACTCAGTGTGAGCATTTTCCTACCGAGACATCTTGCTGTCTCTCAAACAACAATTTTAAAATAAAATATCTAATACAAAACAAAGATTTGCTGAGTTGTATTGTATATGCTAAGGAACAATAGGGAAGCACTAATTTTTTTTGTACATAAGCCATTGAGTTTCTGTAAGAGGAGAAATATTTGTATGCACAATAAGACCACTGCAGTTCATAGCAATAGTCTGTGCTGGGGTGTTTCAGGGTTGTTCATTTGTCTTGGGTCTTATGATGGCATGCATGCATGGTACAAGGAACATATCACATCTTTAAAACCAAAGTGGAAATGCAGCATAGGCAAATGCTGCCAGAAATATCCTGACTGCATTACACATTTGATTTTAAGTTCATGTTTAGTCAGAACCTTTTGTTGTAATTTAAAAAGTGGTACATGAGAGAAAGACACCATGCAACAGAGTTCACATGGAGAGTTGTTTGTTTGTTTGTTTGTTTGTTTGTTTGTTTGTTTGTTTGGAGAAAGGGAATGGAAAAGAGGGGTTGGAGTCTGGCCTCAGAAGACAGGAGCAGCAGAAGAGAAGAGAGAGGCGGGGCTTGGGGTGGCGAAACAGAAAGACAGGCAGAGAGGCAGAGGAAACTTAGTGAATGTGCACAGGAGATACTCTTTGTGGTTACAGCTGAGGGTGTATCCTGTCAACGGCAGACTGGTATAGATGCCTGAATACTAACACCTTTCACTTCTGCCGGCTTTTCAAGACCCTCCACATGCAATTATGTGATCTATACTTTTAAGAGGCTGGGATTTGAAAAAATACATACCATAGAAGTACTGAGTTAACCAGATGACTGCATTGGCAGAAGGCCAGATGACAAAGATCTCCATCTGCTTGTCAGCATCCAATGACAATGACAGAGTTCTTGGTTAGGTTACAAGGAAAAGTTATTTTGGCTTATAGTTTTACAGGTTTTATTCTTTCAGGTGGCTCTGTTATTTTTGAACCTGTGGTAAGACAGACCATCATCAAGGATACCATGCCAGTGAAGCAAAGCCATTCACTCTGCAGCACCTGGGAGGCAACGAGAAAGAGTCTATGTCAATGTATAGAGGTGTCTCCAATATTCCCATTAATGGCATGCCCACAATGACCTAACTTCCTCCCACTATGTTTCATCTAAACATTCCACCACCCTCCAATATTGCTAATCTCATAGCCAAGTCTTTAGCTCATGAGTGGCTGTGGAATGGCGCTTAAGATCTAAACCATAGTGAGGAGTTTCCTGAAACTATCTCCACAGCCAAATGACTGCATTTCTTACCCGTGTCTGCTTCCAAATTGGGTCATGTGACTAGTTCTCATCAGAGAAATCTGAGCAGATATGATTTATAATTTTTTTGAGCAAAGTAATTTAAGAAACCAATTTTTCTCTCTCTCCCCTTGGTTCTTTGACAGCGTTTTCAGCTTTTTCTTCTAGATGGGGCCACTTCTTTACAAATCTGAATTGATATTCCTAACATATTAATTCACACCTCATCCAAATTCTGTAAATTTATTGTTTTTGTTGGTATTTCTTTTTTTTTTTTTTTTTGGTTTTTACGAGACAGGGTTTCTCTGTATTGTTTTGGAGGCTTATCGTTTTGTTGATATTTCAAAACAGGGTTTCTCTCTGTATCTTTGGAGCCTATCCTGGAACTCATTTTGTAGACCACAGAGACCCTCCTGTCTCTGCCTTCTGAATGCTGAGAATAAAGTTGTGCACCTCCACTGCCCCCCAACTGTTACTTTAACCTAACCCATTCTTAATCTTCACTTGATTTATAGTGCTTCTTCTTATAATGTAATCTTTTATGAAATATGTATCTTCATTTTTTAAATTAAAATTATTTTCATTGCTAAAACAATAATTCCTTCATGGCAAGGAAATTAACTTATTACAGCTATATCCCAAGCCCTATCACAGTGCATATTACATATCAAACAGTTGATGAAGTTTGTAGAATGAATGAATGAATAGTTAAGATGTTGATAGTGAGGTAATTCATGTGCCTTTTTATTGAAAATAGGTTTTTTCTACATAATATATTCTGACTACAGTTTCCTCTCACCCAATTCCTCCCAGATACTTTCCACTTCCCCACCCATCCCAATCCACTCTCTTTATTTTCCTCTTATTGGAAAGCAAGCATGCATCTAAATAAATTAAAAATAAGATAAATAAAGCCTGTAAAGAGAAGCCTTCCCGCCAGCCTGGTTCCAGAGCCACATCAGTTCCAAATAAACACACAAGAGTCTATATTAATTATGAAGCTATTGGCCTTGCTTGTTTATTACTGGCTAGCTCTGACTTAAGTATTTACCCCATAATTGTTAATCTAAGTATTTCTCTTACCGGAGCAAAGTTCCAGACATGTTATTTCTCTGGAGGGCTACATCGTGACTTCCTGTGTTTCTCCTACCCAGAGTTCTCCTGGACTCCTAGTCCCACCTAGCTTGCTTCCCTATAGGCCAACAGTGCTTTATTGACATATACACAGGACTTCCCCAACAAAAGCCAAACAAGGATAGAACAAACAAGCACACAAAAGAGCCGAATAAAAAGCATGAGAAACACATACAGATTCCTCTAGAGACACCAACATTTAGACACAGAAATCCCATAAAAACCCAAAACCAGAAACCATAATATATAAACTAAAGACATTTAAGAGTAAAAAAATGTCCGACAATGCATTACAAGATGAAAATCTCCAAAATACAATTAGTTTGTTTCATGTTGATCTTCTACTGCTGGGCATGAGGCCTGCACTTATGTCTGGTTTGTACCCCTAATGAGACTCTCTTGGAGAAAACTCCTTTTTCCCTTGCTAGTGGATCAATTGAAGCCAGCTTCTGGGTTGGGGATGGGATTTGTGTCCACTTCTCTCAGTGATGGGACCCATTTGACTTAGGCCTGTAGAGGTCCCATGTATACTGTCACAGTCTCTGAGTTCCTATGCATGTGCCTTAAGGAAAAGTAATGTGGCTCTCAAGGGGATGATAGGAGAGTCCCTGGGAAATTATATTTGTTTTTCCACATAGTGGTAAGCTTAAGGTGCAACTCCTGGGTTTGTGGTGACAAGAATGGGTACTCAGCAGTGTCTGTGCAACCCCCTCAAGAATAGCTACCATGACTGTGTGGTTTGTTCTGCAGCTTTCAGATGTGAGAAAATCAGCAGGGTTCTTGGGCTGTCTCTGGCATTTTTCAGCTTTCAAGCCACAGAGAAGATTGAAAAATTTGACATTTCAATAACAAAAATCATGAACTTTTTAATACCCTAGTTCTCAAACTCTTCTGTTTCATTGTCTGCAAATGGAAATGCTTGGCTTTGGCACAATATCACTACTTGAGGTGGGCTGTTTCCACCCCTGTCCCTCCATGTGTGATAACTTGCTTGTTTTTATTCTTGTTTCATAGAATGGACGGGTTAAATGAATATTCCCATAATTCATTTGACCTACAATCTCTATTAAACTCCTTTCCTGGAGATTTGGAATTCAAGCAGATCTTCAGTGACATTGGCGAACAGATGGAACAGAATGCTGCAAGGTATTTGTTACTATCATTTGAATTAAGTTGTCTCCATGTTTTATTCACATAAAATTACCTTTTTGAATTGAGGATTATCTCTTATATTATCATTTGTTTTTCTTACCATTAACTTCTCGAAAGATAATGATTATTGATTTTGAGACTAGTCTTGAACTCAGACATCTGCCTGCCTCGTGTCCCAAGTGCTATGATTAAATTGAGGCTTGAACCACCATACCCAGCTCTAGATTTTCATACATTTAGAAGTTAGCATTCTTGCTTGTATTATAAAGGCAAAAACTTAAATTTGAAGATAAAGGATCAAAATAAAACAATGGTATCCAGTCATAAGTGCTGTAAACAAAGCCTGAAGAGGGAATTCTTTTAGAGCAAGGGTTGCATATCCTGTAACCCAGTACAATGAGGGAGAAGCAGCAAATAGAAGTATATCTAGGGGTAACATAGTTAGACCCTTATACAAAACAAGGCAAACATACTTTGAAATGAGTTTTTAAGATCAATGCTGTAAGGAAATATTTTCTTTTATTTTCAATAGGGAAAGTTAAACTTCTTGTTTTTAATTTGTTTTTATTTGTATATAATATATATGTTAACGGTAATATATGTATGACATAATCATACTGTTAAGTATAGACATCTAATATAAAGTAACTGAGATTTTTAGTATAATTGGTTTATGTAACATTTCTGTTATGTATTTATTATAGTTTCTAACCTAAAGCAATGAAATGAACATCAAATAAAATAAATTAAGTCATTTATTTAAATTACAAAGCTACTTATATTTTTATCAAATTTTTTAAAAAATACGAACTTCTCCCGTAGTAATTTCTTTGGCCCTATCAAAGCAAAGCAAGACACTAAATGATATTTTTGATATATATTGCTTCATTGTTCGCTAAATTGTTCTCTCTTTAGTTTCCTTCCCCTACCTGATCAATAAAAATCTGATTTAAGAATATAATAATGATTAAAACTTTTTACATTCATAAATTATTATTTAGGTTAAAATATTGATGTTGATTTTATAAAAAAGTATAGTGTAGTATACAATTCTTACATTAAAAAACTTTTATTGCCCATCTATTAAAAATGAACCTATAGCCTCAAGTGGCCATTGATCTTCACCAGGGATAGAAGAAGGAAGTAACTGTATGTGCTGCATACTACATTTAGAATCAAGTCTATTTTTCATCAAATTCAATTATGTTTTTATTATACTCCAGAGAATAAACATAATAGTATAGAGTACATATATTTTCAAAAATAAAATACTGAATAATAACTATGGTTCACAAGAGTATAAATCATTTATACACTCAAGTATTGCCTTCTAACAGAATAGCTTTTAGAAAATTGTATGTCATGACGAATCAGTTATACCACACTTACACTTCAGTAGTTGAATTACCCTTGGTATTTCCTATTCTAACAGTTGTATTTATCTCCTGATGGTGCACACTGAATAAGTAATGAACATCTGTATGATATGGGTTTCCCACATTACTTTTAGAAGAAAAAAGACATTAGCAATTCACACTTAAATACAGTATTTTTTTCTTGTCCTTAAATTTTCCAAGCTGTATTTCTTACAGTGACCCCGACAACTTAAGTGTGAATTCCTTTTCCCTCTTCTTAATGTCATCAAGTTTTATGAGCCACAGGGTCTTTCACCTTCCCACAGCAGTGATTCACCGGAATGGACAGTGTGCTCAGAGGTCACTGAACCCTCACCTGCCTTTCAAGTCATTCTAGCTTTAATTTCTTGGTTTCTACTCAAGCCACAGCTATGAGACTTGTACTTTTGAGAATGGAGACAATGGCAATGAATTATTTACTTAAGTACATGTCACAACTCATAACACAATGTAAATAAACTTTGGAGGATTCGTAGTATGAATTGTACCCACAAACAGTTGAATAAGAAAGTTGCACAAAGCCTTGAAATGGTTTTTGAGCTGACTGGAATGTATTAGTTTAATAAGACAGAGAGGGACAGAACACTTTACAAAAATAAAACCTTATTTTATTCTTCTGTTTCCTAATTATGGACAACTTGTATGTAGTCCATGGATTGAATTTTGCTGACACTGGTATAATGTCTACTGTTTTCATCTCAGGAAAACACAAGAAGTGTTACCTGGGAAAATACCATTGTTTTCGTTCAAGAAGTGGGAGTATGATAGGACACGGATGCTGTGAGAGAATATTGTATAAATCCTTTGTATAATTCAACCGTAAGAGGATGCACACCCATATATTCACTTATATGCCACATGCTTAATATTTTAGTTACTTATACATTTTTCTTTAGTTTCTGACATGTTGGTTCACAAGTCTAGAGAGATGAAGTAACTGAGAGAAATATTTAAATAATCAACAAACCTTGGGGTCTCATAAAAAAGCCATTTATCTGATGGTGTGCACAATTTGTTTTGTCCCCATGGCAAATTATGTAAAATAAAAGCCATTTCAAAGAATACTATATTGTTATTGTAATCCTGATAGTGTTTTGTCATTTATCTAATAATATCAAGAAGTACTTGCTCCTTTTTCTAGCTGCCTGTGTTTGCTGTTTGGTGTGGACTTCATACTCTATAGGCTACAAGAAAAGACAACAGAAAGGGTTGCCTGTTTCTTTATCACCAAAATCTAGTGGAATTTACACAGCCACGTTGTCTTTTCTTCTAACCAGGCTGTTGTAGCATTCTACTAACATGTATGCTGGGCTTAAGCAGCTCAGTTACCTCAACTTTCTCTGGCCCATTTCAGAGTTCCCACTTTTTAATTTTCTCCAGTCATCTCAGTGAGGCTCAGAACATGAAGTCTGGTGTTACCTGTAGACAGAGGTGGCATTGGGTAGAAAGACTCCAAAGAAGATGAATGTCAGTGTTTCTCACTTTCTCATTGTCTCTTGCTATCTCCTCACTATTATCTGCTTTCTTATCTGTTGAACAATTTTTTTCTGCCTTAGTTACTTTTTTGTTGTTGTGGTAAAACATCATGACCAAGACAACTTATGAAAGAAAACTTTTTATTGGTCTTATAGTTTCAAGGAGTTAGAACCCATGATGGCAGAAAAGGACATGATGGTAGCAACAGCTGAGAGTTCACATTTAGTTTGCAAGCAGGACATGTGAAAGAAAGCACTGGGAATGGTGTGAGTCTTTGAAACCTCAAAATTCTCTCCTGCCCCATGACCTAACTCCTTTAACAATACCACACCTCCTAATCCTCCCTAATTAGTTCCATGCAGATGCCTCTTGATATTCCCTTTGTTCATGTCTTAAAATATTTGAGCCTATGGAGGTGTTTTATTAAAAAAGACACACCCATACCTCTCTCTCTCTCTCTCTCTCTCTCTCTCTCTCTCTCTCTCTCTCTCTCTCTCTCTCTCTCTCTGTCTGCTGTATTATTTTGAGTGCCTAGGATGGTCCTTACTCCTTAGCCCACTGTACTACCTGTATATCTTCAACTCCCCTTTTGCCTTTGCCCATTAGCTCCATTAGATGGTTGCTAAGAAATTTATTCAGATAACTTGAATATTTCAGATGTATTGACAATTTTTAAAGTTACTTTTATTTTCAAGCTTTACTTACTGTAAGCCAAGGTGAGAGCAAAAAGAAAGTAAGACGTCTTAGAAGAGGACTATGGGCTCCTAAAATGTGAGCACTATACCTATGCCACTGGATAACAACTTGGGAATAAATTCAACATATATTTATAAAAGGAGAGAAGATTTTTAAAAAGACTGACTCACAGATTGAGTAGTTCATCAAACGCTCTCTACGTGCTGAGAGTTAGAGAACCTGACAGCTACTCAATCTCAAAGGCCTTTGAACATGGGAAGCCAGTCTAGACTGAAGGCTTGGAAGCTCTGTGGAGAGTTTCTGATAGGCAGTGAAAGCCTGAACAAGTCTAGAATCCGATGTATTCGGCTGATGGAAGCACTGACTGACTTCCTCTTATTTTTTCCATCCTATCTCCAGCATATCAGATGGTACCAACCATAGTCAGTTTCTTTCCCACATCACTGGTCTCTAGAAATACCTTGCAAGGAATTTGGTATCAAGAGTGCTTTTTTTCCCCTAAATGTGTGGTTGTAACTTTCTGACATTAATAAAACCTCTCTGAAATAAAACAAAATTCTGCATAAATGTTTTGATTTCTTTCCTAATCAGTAAGCAGGTTCACCCCTGGGGGCAGCTAAATCTCCTTTTCCCTGCAATCATCAGTTGCCTGTAGTTGTGTAGAGAAGGAAGCCTGATCTTCCCCTTTCAATGTTTGCCTGTCTTTTGGTATTGCTGTTTCTAGTTCACACTGTTTCACAGCAGACTTCGTGGTTCTCTAGATTTTACACCCTTTCTGCTGCTTCTTCGGAGGCATTCCTTGATCCACAGATGCAGGGGCTGTCATATACACATATCTGCTGGGGCTGATCTTCCAATAATTTGTTGATTGCTGCATTGTGGCCTAGATGTGGTTTTCTGTGATGGTCCCTATTTGCTGCAAAGAAAAGTTTCTTTGATGAGGGGTAGTTACTTTTATTATCCAATACAAAGTGGTTAGCTCTGAAGCCATATGCACACAAACAACAAGGCATACAACAGGTCCTATTCATATATTTCTACACACACACACACACATCTGTAACAATAATAAAGAAAAAAGGCTATCAGTTTGAGAGGGGGAGTCAGGGAAGGGTCTGGAGGGAGGAAAAGGAAGGCAAAAAGGAAGGCCTTCTGCCAGGATTTATGAAATAAAAATTTTAAAGTATTCTAATATTCTGTGTTAATTGGCATTACCTGCAAAAATATGCTTCTTTGATGAATTTTGACAGGTACACTAAATTATGAGTATTACAATGAGTCATTAGGTATCAGTTTATGGCTACTTAGCAGAATTGAGTAGTACGGTCTCCCTAAATGCCTATGAGCCATAAGTTCTTGGCCCCAATAACAGTGAAAGGTATAGATTTTATCTTGTGGAGTTGGCCT